CGCTTGTCATCACTTATGCATGTGTGGCTTACACTTCTTTCAGAAAAGTTTCCTCTCAACCTTTGGAACCAAAGGTCTCATTATAATCTTTTTCCGGGTGGTAACAATCGCTTAAACTCAATCTATGACTTTTTGTGGGGCACTACTGTGCATAATTGGCTGCAGTGTTTTGCCCCAAAATATGGCAAAATCACTTTACATAAAATTCAGTATGTCTCTGAGAGGTCTCAAATTCATGATAAAACCCTATAACAAATGCAAGGATGATTATTATTATAATATTTTCTGCTCAAATATTAAAATAAATGATGGACTCTGCCTTAATGTTTATCATAGAATCATAGAATTACACAGCACAGAAGGAGGCCATTCGGCACATCGTGTCTGTGCTGCTCTTTAAAAGAGCTTCTGAGGTGGATAGATATTTAGGTGAGGGTATATGTTAGGCCTCTGTATGTCTTCAGAGACGAGCCACACAAAAAAATTTAGTTTTCTTGTTTTTTATATGTTATAAATTTAAAATGTTATAAATTTACTGTTTATTCTACCAGTCACCACGTACGTTAATGTCCACACTTGCCTAACCACACCACAAAACCCAAGGTGTAGAGTTTAATCACAGAATCATAGAATTACACAGCACAGAAGGAGACCATTCGGCCCATTGTGTCTGTGCTGCTCTTTGAAAAGAGCTTCCAAATCAGCCCCACTCCCCGCTCTCTGCCCATAGCCCTGATCAACCCCACTCCCCCCGCTCTCTCCCCATAGCCCTGATCAACCCCACTCCCCCGCTCTCTCCCAATAGCCCTGATCAACCCCACTCCCCCGCTCTCTCCCCATAGCCCTGATCAACCCCACTCCCCCGCTCTCTCCCCATAGCTCTGATCAACCCCACTCCCCCGCTCTCTCCCCATAGCCCTGATCAACCCACTCCGCTCTCTCCCCATAGCCCTGATCAACCCCACTCCCCCACTCTCTCCCTGCCCTGATCAACCCCACTCCCCCCTCTCCCATAGCCCTGATCAACCCCACTCCCCCACTCTCTCCCCATAGCCCTGATCAACCCCACTCCCCCGCTCTCTCCCATAGCCCTGATCAACCCCACTCCCCCGCTCTCTCCCCATAGCCCTGATCAACCCCACTCCCCCGCTCTCTCCCATAGCCCTGATCAACCCCACTCCCCCACTCTCTGCCCATAGCCCTGATCAACCCCACTCCCCCACTCTCTCCCCATAGCCCTGATCAACCCCACTCCCCCACTCTCTCCCCATAGCCCTGATCAACCCCGCATAGCCCTCATAGCCCAAATAATTATCTACTTCTTTCTTAAAAGTTGTTATAAAAAGGCTTAGGTAAAGTCTAAAGGTTTAGCATTTCAGGATATATATTAATTGCATGTTCATTTATAGAGGTTATCACAGTGTGTGTTGCCCATTATTTCTAGGTTAATATCAGTGAGAGCCGGCAGAGTATTTACTACTAAATCTGTATGGTATAGACTGATCTAACTTTACATGTTCTGCGCTAGAGATCGTAGTTTGTACAGTGAGTAAAGCAACGTTTAATTTTCTCTTTCAGTTGAGTAGGTTGTGAGTTGGGATGTCACATGGAGCACTGTAGCGTAGTTGTTAGAGCGCTCACCTCGCAAGTGAGAGGACCCGGGTAAGAATCCCAGGCAGTTTGAGACAAAACCTTAGGCAAGTTTCCTTACTCCACACGCCTCTGTTCACCAGCAGTGAGTAGGAACCCGTTTGTTAGTCAATTGGCGGATCGCTTTTCCAGGAGTAATAATCCCTTAAAAATAATAATTTGGTCACTTATAAAACAGAATATATTATAAAGTGGATTGACTAGTGTATTTTGTGGGTGAAATGCGGCAGCATAGTGTCGCACAAACAGTCGTGGATTGAGTGACCAAATTATTATTATTTTAAAACATTTTGGAGAGATTAATATTAAAAGCGAACTGCCAATCATCTAACAAGTGGGTTCTTACTTACTGTTAGGTAAACAAAGGCGTGGAGTAAGGAAATTTGCCTAAGGTTTTGCCCCGCCTGGGAATTGTGCAAATAAATAATAATAATGATTGTTGCATTTGATGTAGCATCTCATCACGTTGTTGATAGAATGGCTCTTCACAGAGTGTAATGTAAAGTGTAGTGACTCTGTGTTTTGTGAGTGAAACGCATTCTAAAGCTAACAGAAGTGTTGTGTTTTTTCTCGCCTCTGGGATGCTGGCTGCTCAGGTGTGAGCTGTGCTGACGAGGATGACAAGCCCAGGAAACGCCGACGCACCAACAGCTCGAGCTCCTCGCCTGTGGTGCTGAAGGAGGTGACCAAAGCCCTGGTGCCCGCCTGCAAGTCCCCAGCCGTCCCCCTGGGCGCCAGCCCCAAAGTCAGCAACATCATGCAGAGCCTCGCCAACTCCATCCCCTCACACATGTCACCAGTGAAAATCACCTTCACTAAGCCCACCACACAGACCACCAATACCAACACACAGAAGGTCAGTGTCCCCACTGTGGGCAGGTAATAATCATATAATAAGCCTTATGTTTTATACAGCGCCTTATCACGTCTTCAGGACGTCTCAAAGCGCTTCACTGTAAAGTAAATTGACTGTGTATTTTGTGGACGAAACACGGCAGCCAATTGTGCACAGCAGAGTCCCATGAAGAGTAGCAGATTGAAGTGACCAAATTATTGTTATTATTTCAAAGTGGTGGTTGTGGTGGGGTGGGGGTTCTCAGACCACATCAACTCTGGTTGAAATTGTGCAAATAAATAATAATCCTTGTCGTGCCGATGTCTCAAAGTGTTTCACAAGAATCTACTTTGAAATGTGGTTTTGTAGGTGAATCCAGCAGCAATTTTGCACACAACAGCAACTCCCCCACAAACAGCCATGAAATGAATGACTCAATTTAACTGGAGGGTTATTGTCCAGGATTTTGGATTAAAACTAGTAAAATCAATGTGGTTTTTAAAGTTCACATGATTTAAAATTACGTTTTACTGAAAACCTTTTTATCTCCTACACATCCTATTTAAAATAATAATAACAATCCTTGCATTTGATACAGCACCTTATCATGTCGTTGAGACGTCTCAAAAGCGCTTCACAGAATATAGTGTAAAGTGAATTGACTTTATTTTACATTGCCTCATTAACTAGATCAATCACTTCATGCTGTTTGTGGGACAGCAACAACAACTTGCATTTACACAGCACCTTTCACACAGGGCAGCATCTTGGAGCGTTTAACAGACGACAGTCTGTCGTCGAGCCGGGGGGAGGGTGGGGAGAGGACCATAGTACGAACAAAGTTCTGCTGTGTTCAAAACACACAATCAACCGTTACAGCATTTCCTGGGAAGCACTTTGAGATGTCCTCCCGATGTAAAAGGCGCTTTATCAAATGTGAGAATAATTATAATTTGCATTTATTGTCCTTGCTTTGACCTCAAGAGTTTTCAAATAATAATAATCTTTGCATTTGACATAGCGCCTCATCACGTCTTCAAGTCATCTCAAAGCACTTCACAGAATATACTGTAAAGTGACTGTGTATTTTGTGGGCGAAATGTGGCAGCTATTTGCGCACAAGAGTGTCCCACAAACAGTCGAGGATTGAGTGACAAAATTATTATTTTTATTTTATTGCATTTTTGAAGGGATTATTACCCCCAGAAAGTGATCCGCCAATCGACTAACAACCAGGTTCCTACTCACTGCTGTAAACAGAGGTGTGTGGAGTAAGGAAACTTGCCTCAGGTTTCGCCCTGACCGGGAATCAAACCCGGGTCTCTCGCTTGTGAAGCGAGTGCTCTTAACAGTGGTGCCGTCCCACAAACAGAGCTACAAGGACTTTATTGTTCGATGGCTTTACTGCAAAGAGGGCTCTGGTGATCACTTAAAGGTTCTTTGTGTTTCTATTAACGACAGGTAATCATTGTGACGACATCTCCAAGCTCAACGTTTGTGCCCAACATCCTGTCCAAGTCTCACAATTACGCTGCTGTCACCAAACTGGTGCCAACGTCCGTCATCACAACCACCACCCAGCGCCAGCCGGTGGTCATCACCGCCACACAACCCCCCTTTACCTCCAGCAACACCATCTCCCCCTCCTCCGCTTGTTGTGTGATGGCCACAACCTCCACACACTCCTCAGCCTCCTCTGCTGTCATGTCCACCATCGCTCAAGGTACGGTAAACAGCAACAACAACAAATGCTGGACAGTCAGGGATTTGGGGGTTGGGATCAGGAGGGTGGAGGGCAGGGAGGGTGGGGGTAGGAGGCTGGCTGAAGTTGTGGTCGAAGAGGAGAGTTATGAAGGAAACGAGGGAGGGGGTGAGGCAAAGGGACTTGGAATGGAGTTCCAGAAGGTGGGGGCAGAAATGCTGAAGGCCTGGCCGCTGATAGTGGAGTGGGCCGGGTGGGGGACGTGGAGCAGGCCACAGCATGCTGAGCGGAGGGAGCGGACTGGTTGATACGTGGTTAGTAGGTTGCAGAGGTAGGAAGGATCAAGGCCGTGGAGGACTTTGAAGGTGAGTATTTTGAATTCTACCTGATTATGGAGTCCTGTAGCTCAGGGGTTAGACACTCGCCTCGCAAGTGAGAGATCTGGGTTTGATTCCCAGGCGGGGAGAAACCTTAGGCAAGTTTCCTTACTCCTCACACCTCTGTTTACCAGCAGTGAGTAGGAACCCAGTTGCCAATCGAAAGGCGGGTCACTTTCAGGGGGTAATAATTCCTTAAAAAAAGAATAAATTGATCAATTCATGACTGTTTGCACGAGAGAGTTGTGGAGACCGACAAGCAGGGAGTTACAAGAACAACTTGCATTTATATAGTGCCCTTCACGTGGGGAAGAGTCCCAGAGTTAGCATAATAAGCATTGGAATAAGGTCTTTCCAGGGTGGTGGCGGGGAGGATTCTTGTGAATTGTAATAAACCTTGCATTTGATATTGCACCTTACCATATTGTCGAGACGTCTCAAAGTGCTTTACACAATATACTGTAAAGTGGGTTTATTTTTCCTGTATTTTATTGGAGAAATATGCAGCAACCAGTTTGCACATAGCAATGTCTCACAAAAGCCATGTAGTAAGTGACCAATTGTATTTTGGGGGATTGTTGGCCAGGACACTGGGAGATTCCAATAGCCCCACAGGATCTTTAACATCCACCTGAACAGGCAGATCGGACCTCGGTTTAATGTCTCATCCAAAGGGACATTCAAATCACTTCAAATCACTACTGTTTATGGGACACTGGCTGCCGTGTTTCAGCGACAAAATACACAGTCACTACACTTTACAATATATTCTATGAAGCGCTTTGAGACATCTCAACAGCATGATGAGATATATTAAATATAAGGATTGTTATTATTGTTGTTATTTGTCATAAACTCCAATCCCTGACAACACTCTCAGGTGAAGTACCTTGCAGCCTCTTGTGTCAGTCTGTTGCTACCATCTTCTGCTATCTCTGTTGCCAGGTGCAGCTGGCACTGCCGTGAAGGTCACCGCAGCCAGACTCCCCTCACCCAAAACCCTGGTGGGGTCTCCAACACAGATCCTGGCTCAATTGTCCAAACAGCAGCATTCGCTGTCACACTCCCCACAGCTCCAGTCCCAGCAGTCACAGACCTCGCCTGGTGTCAAACCCACCATTCAGATCAAGCAGGAGTCTGGTAAGTGCCGACACACTACCTAGCAACATAGGAACAGGAGTCAGACATTCAGCCCCTCGAGCCTGTGCATATTTACACAGCGCCTTTCACGTCAGGGGGACATCCCAAGGCGCTGGACAGTCAGGGATTTGGACCCGAGCTGGGGGTTGGGATCAGGGAGGCAGGGAGGGAGGGGGAGTAGGAGAGGAAGAGGAAGATCTGGAGACTGGACTTGAAGGAGGCAAGGGAGGGGGCAGGGTGAAGGGAATGTGGGATGGAGTTCCAGAAGGTGGGAGCAGAGAGGCTAAAGGCCCGTCTGCCGATGGTGGGCCGGAGTCCACTGAGCGGACGGAGTGAACGTGTTGATATAGGGTCAGCGAGTCACAGAGGTAGGGACGGGCAAGGCCATGGAGGGCTGAATGATGATTTTGAATTGTATCCTTTGGGGGACGGGGACCCGGGCGTGGGGGTGATGAGGTCACAGAGTCTCGTGTGGGTACATGAGCATTGGAATCACTGGATAACAATTGGGAATTGATTCCTTTATTCTGGGGTGTGGAGGCTAATGCTAGTCGTGGCCTGTGGTCTGTGCTGAGATCAGCTTGTTGACAGTGATCAAGAGGGTGATCCTGGGTCAGTTGATGAATTGAGGTGACGTGGAGAAGCTGTAACTGGTGATCTTCCCCAGCCTCGGGGGCTGATTCTCCAAACAGTTTTGTTGGTAATGCTATAAGGTGTTGATGATGACCAGCTATGAGACTGGGTGATGTGCAGAAATAAAACCATTCAACAACAACAAAATTACATGTGCGAAGGCCTTTTATGTCAGGAGGAGGTCCCAAGGCACTGAACAATCAATGTTTTGAACCTGAGCTGGGGGTTGGGATGGAGGAGGGTGGGGGGGAAGCAGGGAGATTGAAAGCACGGTTGAAGAGGAGGGTCTTGAGGTGGGCATTGAAGGTGGCGAGGGAGGTGGTGAGGCGGAGGGACTGCGGGATGGAGTTCCAGAGGGTGGGGGCAGAGTGGCAGAAGGCCCGCCCGCCTAGAGCCAGGTGCGGCGAGCGATGCGGGGGACGTGAAGCAGGCCGGAGCCCACTGAGCGGAGGGAGCAGGCAGGTTGGTAGGAGGATAGGAGGTCGCAGAGGTCAGGGGGAGCAAGACCATGGAGGGATTTGAAGGTGAGGACCAGGATCTTGAACTGTATCCTCTGTGTGATGGGAAGCCAGTGGAGTCGACAGGACCCGGTCTGCAGAGTTCTGGATGATCTGCAACCTATGGCAATTGCAGTCCTTAAGGGAATGGTTAACTATTGATGGAAAGATTTAAGTGTGTATTTGTTTATTTCCCACCATCAGCAGTCGGGCCTTCATCCTCTCTGCCCCACCCTTGGGAACTCCATCACACATTCTCTTTGCCTCGCTATTTCCTTTGCCTCCTTCAAGGCGCATCTCAAGACCCTCCTCTTCGCCCACTTCTTCGGTTACTCTACTAATATTAATGATCTGGACTTGGGCAGAGAGAGCACTATTTCCAAGTTTGCAGACGATACCAAGTTAGGTAGGGTAGTAAATAGTGAGGAGGACTGTAACCAACTGCAAGCAGACATACACAGAATGGTGGAATGGGCTGACATGTGGCAGATGGATTTCAATGTGGAGTCCTGTAGCTCAATGGTTAGAGCACTCACTTTGCAAGTGACAGTCCTGAGTTCAATTCCAGGCAGAGGGCGAAACCTCGGGCAAGTTTCCTTACTCCACACAGAGCCTAATAATAATCCCTCCAAAACCAAACAGTAATAAATTGGTCATTTTCAATCTACGACTGTTTGTGGGACATTGCTGTGCGCAATTGGCTGCCGCGTTCGCCCACAAATATGCAATTCACTTTACAGTATATTCTGTGAAGTGCTTTGGGATGTCTAGAAGACGTGAAAAGCGCTATATCAAATGCAAGGATTATTATTATAAGTGTGAGGTGATACACTTAGGTAGGAAGAATGATAGGAGGCAATATAGACTTGGCAGCTCAATCTTAAGGGGGGGGTGAACGTACAGAGAGATCCGGGTGTTCAAGTAAGCGAATCGTTAAAGGTAGCGGGGCAGGTAGATAAGGCAGTAAAAAAGGCATTTGGTGTACTGAGCTTTATTAGTGGGGGCATAGAGTACAGGAAAGAGTAGGGAGATTATGGTTAATCTGTACAAAACACTGGTTAGGCCTCAGCTGGAGTACTGCATCCAGTTCTGGGCACCTTACTTCAGGAAGGACATTAAGGCACTGGAAAGGGTGCAGAGGAGATTCACGAGAATGATACCAGGAATGGGGGACCTCAGCTATGAGGACAGTGGAGAAGTTAGGACTTTTCCCATTGGAGCAGAGAAGGTTACGCGGGGACCTGATAGAGGTCTTCAAGATCATGAAAGGTTGTGACAGGCGAGATAGGGAAAGCTGTTTCCGTTGGCAGGTGTGTCTGTGACCCGCGGTCACAGTCTGAAGATATCTACCAAGAGAAGCAGAGGGGAGGTTAGAAGAAATGTTTTCACTCAGTGAGTTGTTAGAATTTGGAATGATCCGCCCGAAAGGGCAGTGACGTCCGATTCGATAACAGCTTTTAAGAGAGAACTGGACAGGTATCGGGGAAGACGGGTTTGTGGGGTTATGGGGAGAAAGCTGGTGATTGGGGTTAGTGAAAGTGACGCTCTGTCAAAGAGCCGCACAGACTCGATGGGCCGAATGGCCTCCTTCTAAGCCGTAACATTCTATGAATCTATCTCCACCCTCCCTGCCCTCGACCCCTCCTGATCCCAACCCCCAGCTCGGGTCCAAATCCCTGACTGTCCAGCGCATTGGGATGTCCTCCTGACATGAAATGTGCTGTGTAAATATAATTTGTTGTTATTGTTTCCTATTTTAATAAGATATGATCATGAGCCTTGACAGTTTGACTGCCCATTCCCCTCACCCTTTACCACCAACACCCACATAGCAGTTGGTCCCCAACATTGACCTCTCTCTCTCTCAGTTTGTGTGTAGTACACAGGATGCTGACTTCACTCCTGGAAAACTGGACTCGGACATAACCTCCTCGGGATTGGTACAATAATCCTTGTATTTGACACAGCACCTTATGACGTCATCAAGACGTCTCAAAGCGCTTCACAGAATGTATTGTGAAGTGAATTCACAGTATATTTTGTGGGGCGAGAATACTGTAAAACTGGAGCCAGAGGTCAGTGTACTCGTCATGCATTCCAGGGACTATCTGTTGTCCACCTCCCCTCTGGCTCTCCACTAACTAGCTCAGTATTCCATGTGTTTCACAACCTTTTTTTGGGTATCCATGAGCTGTTAGATCTGGTGCTCTCTGAATGGAACGGTGAGAAAGGAAACGTACTTCATTAATTGGATTCATTAAATCAATCAATTAATTAAAGTCATTGGAGTTTAGGTACAGATCAGCCGTGATCTAAAAATTGTGGCTGAAAATAGGGGCTGAATGGCCAACTCCTGTTCTTGTTTATATATGTATATTGGGTGACCAAAAAGTTATGATATCTACCCTGTTACATAAAAAAATCAATATTTTGTTACAACTTATTAGACATTATAACTGCATCATGACTTTTTATACATATATAATATATATATTAGGAAGTAACTGTGAGACGCCAGTAGATATTATATATTAGGAAATGACTGTGAGTTGCGAGTATATAATATATAATATATGTATCAATATATATATTAGGAAGCCTGCTCATCACAGCACCCGGAGAAGAAGCCAAGTTTTCTTTTAAACTAATAAAACGCAGCTTTAGAAGAACTGTTGTGTATTTTGATTAGCCCAGGCTGCAGCAAATACCTGTTTAACTAGCAGTGAGTAGGAACCCGGTTATTAGTCAATTGGCGGATCACTTTTCGGGGTACAATTCCTCCAAAAAAACCAAACAACTGTGCGCTCAGCGGGACACTGTGCAATTGCCCGGCGTATTTCACACACAAAATACATAGACACTACAGCATACTCTTTGAAGTGCTTTGGGATATCTCAAAGACATGATAAGGTGCTGTATCAAACACAAGGATTATTATTAAAACCTCTTGCTTTGTCCTTCTACGTCCTGTATGAAAGGTTACGTGTGTGTGTGGGGGGGGGGGGGGTGGTTAAACAACAGTGACTTTTCCCAGAGGGTGATTTGTGTTGGGGATGTGATGTATCTTGATGGTGAGTTGTTGTTTCTCCAGGTGTCAAGATAATAACTCAACAGCTGCAGCCCAGTAAGATCTTGCCAAAGCCGCTCACCATGTCCAGCTCCAGCTCCTCCCCCATCATGGTGGTGAGTAGCAATGGAGCCATCATGACCACCAAGCTGGTGACCACTCCAACCGGTAAGCTTCCCTCCCCCTCAGCAACATAAATCTGCTCTTAAGCTCTCTCCTTTGGTGAATGGATCAATGCCTCCGTCCTGCCTGCCCCACCATCGGTGGTTGGGCCTTCAGCCTCTGCCCTCACCCTCTGGAACTCCACCCCACAGCCCCTTTGCCTCGCTCTCTCCCTTGCCTCCTTCATGGCTCATCTCAAGACTCCTCTTTGACCACACCTTTGGTGACCCTCCTACCCCCACCCTCCCTGCCCTCCTCCCTGATCCCAACCTCTAGCTCGGATCCAAATCTCTGACTGTCCAGCACCTTGGAACATCCTCCCAAGGTGAAAGCCGCTTCGTAAATGTCATTTGTTGTTGATAAGGGAAGTGAGATAGGAAAATAAAGTTGACATGGATTTTTTTGTGGACAAGTTGGACATTATATTCCGCCCTACCATCGGTGGCCGGGCTTTCAGCCTCTCAGCCCCTAGGCTCTGGAACTCCATCCCCCAGTGCCTTCGCCGCTTCCTCCCTTTCCTCCTTCAAGGCCAATCTCAAGACCTTTGTCTTCAACTGTGCCTTCAGCTCACCTCGCGACTCTCTACCCCATCCTCGCTCCCTCCCTTCCCTCCCCTCACTCTGACCATTTCCCCCCGACCCAACTGTCCAGCGCCTTGGGACGTCCTCCCGACATGAAAGGCACTCTATAAATGCAATCATGTTGTTGTTGATGTATATTCTGTGCACGTTTGACATAACTCACACTTTATGTAAGTTATATTAAATCCTTGGTCCCACTCGAGGTTTACTGTATTTACAATTTCGGGGCATAATTGAGCTAATGTTGTTGAAAGAAAAATATAATTTTCTCCTATTACAGGTACCCAAACTACCTACACACGCCCCACGTTAAACCCCTCCATCAGTGCCCGAATGGCAGCTTCTTCTGGTTCAGCCACTTACATGAAAACCACCAGTGGGAGCATCATCACTGTGGTACCCAAATCACTGGCCACGTCCCTCGGGGGAAAGATTATCAGCAGCAGCATCATGTCCGGTTAGTGTTCTTCCGCTTGGTGTCCCCTTAGTTCCTTAGACTTATTGTAATAATAATAATCTTTGCAATTGATATAGTTGCTTATCATGTCTTGGACACGTCTCAAAGCGCTTCACAGAATCTACTGTAAACTGTAGTGGCTGTATATTTTGTGGGCAGCCAATTACGCACAGCAGTGTCCCACAAACAGTCGTGGATTGAGTGACCACATTATTATCTTTTTTTGAAGGGATTATTATCCACAGAAAGCGATCCTCCAATCGGGTAACAACCGAGTTCTTCCATTGGGAGGTTCTCTTCCCTTCCAGCTCATTGGAACATCCTTCTGACATGAACGACGCTATATAAATGTAGTTTGTTGTTGAGGTTGTCATATGAGGAATTAAGGGTGGGAATGTTGAGGCAGTGACTGGCATTGGTATTCCCAGCCTAACTTCATACTTTCCAAATGTTATTTCCCTTTAGGATCCACGACTAAAATCACCACCATCCCAATGACGTCCATGACCTCGAAGCCGAACGTGATTGTTGTGCAGAAGACCACGGGGAAGGGGACCACCATCCAAGGCATCCCAGGCAAAAGTGTGGTCACCACACTGCTCAACACGGGGGTGGGTGTGGCTAACACGGGGGTGGGGTGGCTAACACGGGGGTGGGGGTGGCTAACACGGGGGTGGGGGTGGCTAACACGGGGTTGGGTGTGGCTAACACAGGTGAGGGTGGCTAACGGGGGTGAGGGTGGCTAACGAGGTGGGTGTGGCTAACACGGGGCGGTATGGCTAACACGGGGGTGGGGGTGGCTAACGTGGGATGGCTAACGCAGGGTGGGGGTGGCTGCTTAAACTTTGCAGTTAGAGTGGTTGGGTCGTTGTGACGTCTCTCAAAGCGCTTCACAGAATATACTGTAAAGTGCAGTGACTGTATTTGTAGGTGAAATGCAGCAGCCAATTATACACAATGACGTCCCACAAACAGCCGTGGATTGAGTGACCAGTGACTGGCATTGGCATCAAAAAAATTTTGAGGGATTACCCCAGGAAAAGCAATCCACCAATTGACTAACAACCGGGTTCCTACTCACTGCTGGTAAACAGAGGCGTGTGGAGTAAGGAAACTTGCCTCAGGTTTAACCCTCTGCCCGGGAATCAAACCCAGGTTCCCTCGTCTGCGAGGCGAGGGCTCAAACCACTGAGCTACAGGACTGCATTTGGATGGAAGATTCCCACTAAAGTCTTTAAAGTGTGTTTGTTCTTTTTCAATTGTGTTGGCCAGGGTGAAAAAACCATTCAGACAGTAGCAGCTGGGGCCAAACCGGCCATCATCACTGCAACCAGACCCATCACCAAAATGATCGTTGCTCAGCCTAAAGGTGTAGGCTCCTCACTGCAGCCCACCACAAAAATCATCCCCACCAAAATCCTGTACGGTCAGCAAGGTAAAACCCAGGTGAGGGCATTCAATGGTTAACTAGTAATGTGTATTTATTCTATTAATAATAACAATCCTTGCATTTTTCTATAGCGCCTTAGCACATTGTTTAGGTGTTCAGAGCACTTCATACAATATACTGTAAAGTGGATTGACTGCATTATGTGGGTGAAACATAGCAGCCAATTGCACTCATTAGTGGCCCACAAACAGTCATGGATTGAATGACCCAATTTTATTTATTTTTTGAAGGGATTATTACCTCCGGAAAGTGATCCGCCAATCGACTAACATGCGGGTTCCTACTTACTGCTAGGTAACCAGAAGCGTGTTGAGTAAGGAAACTTGCCTAGGTTATCGCCCCTCGCGGGAATCGCACTCGGATCCTCTCGCTTGTGAGAGGAGCGCTCTAACACTGAGCTACAGGATTCCACATTTTGTATGTCTGTCTGTTCACTTGGAGATTTAAGATCCCTCAACACTATTGCAAAGGAGAAGGGGACACCAAGCCAACAAACCTCCTTGTGTAACCTGTTTTGTTGTGGTGAGCTGGTGGCTGAAACATGCAGAAACAAGCAGCCTGAGAATTACTTGTGTATGCCACCTAAATGTAGAAATGTCTCTGTACCTAGAATAGAATGGACTCTCACTATACCTGGAAGGATACACCTCGCTTACCTAATCCTGGAAAGTATTACAACAACGAAACTTGCCTGGACACGGTACCCCTCACGCAGAATAGTGTCTCGAAGCACTTGACAATGGCGGAGCATGACGCTGAACTGGGGGGAGATGACTGTAGGTACGGTTGAAGAGGAAGGTCTTCAGATGCAGATTGGCAGAGCAAAGGCTTGGGGACCCCAGAGTGTGCGTTGGGGTAATTGCTAGAGTCTAACCAGTTAAAAGCACATAGCTTGCCATTAAGAGCTCTCCCACTGCTTGTCCAGCTAGGACCACCCTACCTGTTGGCTTGCGGAGTTAGCAGGAGCTGAGGAATCCTCACCCCTAGTGTCTGTCCTGAGATCTCCGAGACCTGCTCCGCGTGAAGGGCATGATATATAAACAATTTGTTGTTGACCTTCCATGTCCTACTGAGAAGCCAGGCCGGGCTGGGCTGCTACGAGCAGTGCTGTGGACACGTCTGGTTCAACAACCGGACTTGAGACCATGATTGAAACGATTCTGACATTTTGTTATCATGTGACCTTTTAGCCAACTCAGCCTCACCTTCCTGCTGCCTTGCTCTAGTCTGTCCTCCAGAGGAACATAGACTCTCGACCGATGTGGAAACTTGCTGAGTACATAATGGTTTCCTGCATGACTGCAAAAAGTCAACAAACTTGGAAGTTTTAACTTTCCAAAGGGAATTGGATATATATTTGAAAAGGAAAAAGTTGCAGGGCTGTAGGGGAAGGGCGGGAGAGTGGGACTAGTTGGGGTAAGAGCAGGAGAGTGGGACTACAACAACAACAACAACAAGATTCCATTTATAAAGCGCCTTTCACGTCAGGAGGACGTCCCAAGGCGCTGCACAGTTGGGTCATGACCCGAGCAGGGGGGAAATGGTGAGGGTGAGGGGAGGGAGCGAGGAGGGGGGAAATGGTCAGGGTGAGGGGAGGGATGGGAGGGAGCGAGAAGGGGGAAGAGAGTCGAGAGGGGAGCTGAAGGCTCGGTCAAAGAGAAAGGTTTTGAGACCGGCCTTGAAGGAGGAGAGGGAGGAAGCGGCGAAGGCACTGGGGGATGGAGTTCCAGAGCCTCGGGGCTGAGAGGCTGAAGGCCCGACCACCGATGGTAGGGCGGTTGGGGCGGGGGACGTGGAGCAGACCGGAGCCAGAGGAACGGAGGGTACGGGCAGGTAGGTAGGGGGATAGTAGGTTGGAGAGGTAGGAGGGAGCAAGGCCGTGAATGGCCTTGTAGGTGAGGATGAGGATCTTGAAATCAATCCTCTGGGGGATGGGGAGCCAGTGGAGGCGAGCGAGGGTGGGAGTGATGTGGTCCCGAAGCCTGGTGCGGGACAGTACACGAGCTGCAGAGTTCTGAATGACCTGCAGCTTGTGGAGGGAGGTGGCGGGAAGGCCGGCGAGGAGAGAGTTCCCATAGTCCAGCCTTGAGGTGACAAAGGCGTGAACCAGGGTTTCAGCAGCGTGAGGGGTGAGGTAGTGCCGTAGTCTGGCGATGTTCCGGAGGTGATGGAAGGCGGTGCCAGTTGTGGTGCGGATGTGAGGGAGAAAGGACAGCTCAGGGTCGAACAAAACGCCGAGGTTCCTGACTGGCTTTGAGAGGTGGAGAGTGCAGCCTTGGATGCTGATGGTGTCAGCGCCTGAGGTGCGGAGGCGCTGACGTGAGCCAATCAGGAGGGCCTCGGTTTTTCGCACGTTGAGCTGAAGAAAGTTGTCTCTCGTCCAGGACTCGATGTCGGACAGGCAGCTGTCAGGACATCGGTGGTCGTGGAGTTGAGAGTAGAGGAGGAAAGGTAGAGTTGGGTGTCATCCGCATACATGTGGAAGTTAACTCCATGTCTGCGGATGATGTCACCGAGGGGGAGCATATAGAGGGTGAAGAGGAGGGGACCGAGGACAGAGCCCTGAGGGACACCACATGAGACAGTACGGGGGGTGGAGGAGAAGCCATTCGTCGAGACAAAGTGAAGACGGTGAGAAAGGTACGACCTAAACCATTCAAGGACAGTGCCTTGAAGGTTGAGGTGGGAGGACAAGCGGTGGAGTAGGATAGCGTGGTCGACCGTATCGAATGCTGCCGATAGGTCGAGGAGGACGAGGAGACAGAGGGAGCCCTGGTCACAGATGGTCAGGATATCATTGGTGACCTTGACCAGGGCAGTTTCTGTGCTATGGGCAGCACGGAAACCTGACTGAAGGGGTTCGAAAAGAGAATGGGTGGAAAGGAAAGAGCGCAGTTGGGAGGCGACAACTCTTTCCAAGACCTTGGAGAGAAAGGGGAGGTTGGAGATGGGCCGGTAGCTTGATAGCTGCGACGCATCAAGGGAGGGTTTTTTCAGGGTGGGCGTGATGATGGCAGTTTTTAAGGGAATGGGACAGAGCCAGAGGAGAGGGACAGGTTGATGATGTCAGTGATATGTGGGGCAAGAAAGTGGAGCTGGGAGATAAGGAGTGGAGTGGGGATGGGGTCAAGGGAGCAGGTGGTTGGTTTTAGGGATAGGATGAGTTCAGTGACAGAGGGTGGGGAAACGGGTACGAAGGTGTGTAGGGGAGGATGGGTAGGAGTCGGAGTGTGGGAGGGAGGGGGGGGGGGGGGTGGAAGTTGGAGGGGAAGTGACCGCGGAGCGGATTCCCTTGATCTTGGATTCAAGGAAATCCAGCATCTCCTCGCAGTGAAGGTTGGAGGAGATGACCTGCGCGGGGTGGCGGGGGGACGGAGGAGTCGGGTTGTGGTGGAAAACAGTAGCCTGGGGTTGTTCTTCGCCTCCAGGATTATCCTGGAGTAGAAGGACGACTTGGCCGAGGCTAGAGTGGAGCGGTAAATTTTGAGGAGGTCCAGCCAGATTTGTCGGTGGACCGTTAGGCCAGATTTGACACAGGTGCGTTCAGCAGCCCGCACCTGGCTTTTCAGTGAGCGGAGGTGGGTGGTGTACCAGGGGGAGGAGCGGGAGTAGGAGACAGTGCGGGAAGTGATGGGGGCAAGAGTATCGAGTGTGGAGGAGAGGGTATTGTGGAGGAGGGAGAGAGGAGAAGAGGGGTCGGTGAGGGTTGAAGGCCAGAGGGAGAGGAGTTCAGAGGACTCCAAGGCATCGGTTAGGGATTGTGGGGGTAACTTCTTCCAAGGGCGGTAGAAGATGGTGGTGGGTCTGGTGGAGGTGGGGAGGGGGGTGGAGGTGGTGAAGGAGATGAAGTAGTGGTCAGAGATGGCCTTGTCGGTAATAGTGACATCCGAGACACTGAGGCCCCGGGTGATCACCAAATCGAGTGGGTGGCCGTGACTGTGAGTGGGGGAGTTTATGTGTAGGGAGAGGTTGAGTGAGGAGAGCAGGGAAGAGAAGTCTGTGGAGATGGAGCAGGAGGGGGTGAAGTGTAGGTTAAAGTCGCCCAGGATGATGAGGCGATCAGAGCAGAGGCAAAGAGATGTGAGGAGTGTTGAAATGTCAGAGATGAAGGTGGGGGAGGTTTTAGGGGCCGGTAGAGGAGGAGGATTTTAATAATAATAATAATAATAATAATCCTTGCATTTGATATAGCGCTTTTCACGTCGGGAGGACGTCCCAAAGCGCTTCACAGAACACACTGTAAAGTGAATTGACTGTATATTTGTGGGCGAACGCGGCAGCCAATTGCGCACAGCAATGTCCCACAAACAGTCGTAGATTGAAAATGACCCAATTTTTTTTTTATTATTGTTTTTTGGTTTTTTTGGAGGGATTATTATTATCTTGTTGATACTCGTCAACAAGGTGATGTCTCACCACTGTAATCATAGACAGACTGCAGACATGAGGGAGAGGAATGAGGGGTGGGAGAGGGTGAGGTGCTCAAAGGAGGGGAAAGAGCCAGTGGAGTAAGGGGATAGGGCAAGTGGTGTCCTTGAGATAAGGGCAACACCACCGCCACGGCGGTTGGGGCGGGGGATGTGGTGGGAGGTGTAGCCAGGTGGCGTGGCCTCCGTGAGGGGGAAGGTGTCGCCTGGGGTGAGCCAGGTTTCTGTTAAGGCCATGATGTCAACGTTCTCATCAAGGATGAGATCGTTGATGACCAGGGCCTTGTTGCAGAGGGAGCGGACATTTTTCAGTCCGATGTGGAGGGAGCGGTTGACTGAAGGGTGTGTGGGAGGGGAGGGGGGTCCAGGTTGTGGGGCAGGGGTGGGGGGAATGGGGATGAGGGAGGAGAGGTTGACTCCCCGGGTCTGTGCCCGGGGTGGCTGGCGAGTGTGGTGGGGAATGGGGCAGTCGGTGTGGCTGCTGCTGGACAGCCAACGCCGAGTGCCACGGTGAGCCCGGCGGAGGATTCCCAGGCTGGAACAGAGGGAGGTTGTGGGAGGGTCAAGTGGGGATAGAAGACGAGAGGGACGGAGAGAGAGGAGGAGAGAGCGGGAGAGATGCAGAGGGGGGAGGGTTTGGGGGAGAGAGGAGGGGGGGCAGGAGGGAGGGGGTGAGGGGGCTCGGGTCAGAGCGGCAGCCATAGTGCGCACGCGGGGACCGGGAGCGAGCGGTCAGGTGGATGGCATTATCCCGTAGATTGGGGCAGCGAACGCAACAGGACCATAGTGGGTTCTGATGTGAGCCCCGGGGGGGGGGGGGGCGCAGAGGTTTTTTTTTTTTTTTTTGCGCGCACGCACCTGAAAACTAATCTATGATGTCAGCGGTTCCCCTGCTCCGCCCCCACACCTCCTCTCCCCTCCCTAGCAGAACTCACTCCGGCGTCGAGTTTAAGTACCTGGGTCAGTAGGCCCAGGCTCCTCCCCGCGCTCTCCTGCCGCCGCTCCCCGACTGAGCGACTGACTAGTTGGGATAAGAGCAGGGGAGTGGGACTAGTTGGGGTAAGAGCGGGAGAGTGGGACTAGTTGGGGTAAGAGCGGGGGAGTGGGACTAGTTGGGGTAAGAGCGGGGGAGTGGGACTAGTTGGGGTAAGAGCGGGGGAGTGGGACTAGTTGGGGTAAGAGCGGGGGAGTGGGACTAGTTGGGGTAAGAGTGGGGGAGTGGGACTAGTTGGGGTAAGAGTGGGGGAGTGGGACTAGTTGGGGTAAGAGTGGGGGAGTGGGACTGGTTGGTAGCTCTTAGGGTTAAGGTGGAACTTCAAATATAATATGTAATAGCACAGGGGCCCATTCGAAGGGCCAAATGGCCTCCTGTGCTATTACATATTATATTTAACGTTCCACCATCAGTGGCCGTACTTTCAGCCATTATGCCATGAATCTCTGTAACTCTCCATCCGCCTCACCCCCTCCTTTCCATCTTCAGGTTGGAGTCTGAATACCTTCCTCTTCGACCGTGCCTACAGTCTGACTCGGTGTCGTGCTCCACCACAGTCAAGCGCTTTGGGACGTTGCGCTGTATAAATGCAAGTTGTTGTTGTAAGATTCTCTGATTAGGTCTCAGTATAACATGCTCTTTCTCTGTGGTACACATTCTCCATGTCCAGTCCTTCCCAGGAAGCCTGGCTACAGAGGGTTTGCCTGTTTGAAGATGAACGGATATTTTTATTTTGAACAGGGGAGGGAAAAAAAGTTTAATTTTGCAGCAATTGCAATTTTGTCTCTTTCAAGTTTAGAACAAAGGCTTTCCTTAGCCATTCGTAAACAGCGATGTTCAAAAGAACATGTTTGATCTGTAGCGAAGGAACCTCTGCTGAAGACCATTACTTCCTATGTTTGCTTTTAAAATTTCAAAACCTTAGGCAAGTTTCCTTACTTAATAAGCCTCTGTTTACCAACAGTAAGTTGGAACCCAGTTGTTAGTCAATTGGCGGATCGCTTTCCGGGGTTCATAATCCCTACAAATAAAATGGTCACTTAATCCACGACTGTTTGTGGGAGCTGCTATGCTATGCTGCGTTTTGCCCACAAAATATATAGTCCATTCACTTTACAGTATATCCTATGAAGCGTTCTCAAATGCTAGGATTATTATTATTATTAAAGCCGCTGTATAAATGCAATTTGTTACTGTTGTTGATTGCTCTTATAGAGCCAGCACGGAGGTGTTGGGCTGAATGGCCGAGTTCTGTGGTGTGAATGTCTGGTTGTGTTGTAGGTTCTCATTAAGCCAAAGCCCGTGGCTTTCCACGCCACGGTGGTGAGTGAACAAACCCGTCAGTTGGTGAGCGAAACTCTCCAACAAGTCTCTCGGGTGACCGAGGTGAGCAGCACGTCGGGGCAGGAGGGGGGTGTGAAAGAGGAGGTTCACACGTTCATAGAGAGCAGCGGCAGCATGTCCACCACAGAGTCCATACAAACCTCACACGGTAAGAGCTCCACCACACGATTATTTTAACACAGAGGTTTGAGTTTTTATTGTCAGTTTGATGTTGGTGTTGGTGGTCCGTTGTTGCTCCTGTTATTACCTTCACTTCTCAGTTACCTCTGCAATGTCCTTCGATTGAGACGTTTCAACCCGGGGGCTGTGTGTTCAGGTGGAGGTTAAAGATCTCGTGGCGCTGTTCGAAAAGAGAGGAAGTTTCTCTCGTTCCGGGTTGACAGTCATAGAATCTTACAGCACAGAAGAGGCCATTCGGTTCTTCATGTCTGTGCCAGCTCTTTGAAATAGCTACAACTAGCCCCACTCCCTCTCGCTTACCCCAACTAGCCCCACTCCCCCTCGCTTACCCCAACTAGCCCCACTCCCCCTCGCTTACCCCAACTAGCCCCACTCCCCCTCGCTTACCCCAACTAGCCCCACTCCTCTTACCCCAACTAGCCCCAACCCCCCCACCTTTACCCCAACTAGCCCCAACCCCCCACCCTTACCCCAAATAAGAAAGAAAATTGGTCACTGAATCCAGCTGATTGTGGGACACTGCTGTGCAAACTGGCTGTTGCCTATCTCTCTTGTGAAGCACCTTGAGACGTCTCGATGACGTGAAAGGGCACTATTTCAAATGCAAGGATTATTATTATTATTAAGTTCATGTGAAAGCGAAGTTTACACATAACAAAATACAATACAAAATTACATTTGCATAGCGCCTTTCACGTCGGGAGGACATCTGAAGGCGCTGGATAGTCAAGGATTTGCACCCGAGCTGGGGGTCGGGATCGGGGAGGGTGGAGGGTAGGAGATTGACTGAAGGTGTGGTCGAGGATGTGTGCCTTAAAAGGAGGCAAGGGAGGGAGCGAGGCAACTGGAATGTGGGATGGAGTTCGAAAGGTTGGGGCAGAGAGGCTGAAGGTGCGACCATTGGTGGTGGGTTGGACCAGGCCGGGGGTGTGGAGCAGGCCGGAGCCTGCTGAGCGGAGGGAGCGGACAAGTTGATATAATCTTCAGAGATGTGGAAATAACAAAGAGGTGAAGGTAGCATTCTGAAAAAGTGGCTTATCTGGGTTGTATTAAAAATGGTTAATTTGGTTGCCAAAAAGTGAGACATTGAATCATACGGACTTGGAAATTGCTAAGTTTGATTCCCTGTCTGTTGAGTTACCTGATCTTTAGCTGCGACAGACGTAGACTTTTTACAGAAGTCACTGGGAACACTCATCAGGTCAGGCAGCATCTATGGAGAGAGGAAAGTGGGTTAACATTTCAGGTCAATGACCTTGTAACCCTGACCTAACAAACATCTCTCCTCCTCAGTCTTTTCTACAATTCTTGTGCCATCTGAAATTTTAGGAGGAATTTTAAGACAAACTGGATGGAATTTTGGTCCACTGGAGCTTTGTGAGAAAACTGCAGATCCAAAACTGTACCCATGATCAGCCATGATCTAATAGAATGACGGAACAGGCTCGAGGGATTGAATGGCCACCTCCTGTTCCTTTGTACCTACCCTACCAGTGGGGTGCAGTAAGCTTACCTTATGTAACCCTCGTCTGTACTTTTAGCACCTCTCGCCTCAATTTCTCCATTGCCCTCCTCATCGGTCACACCAGCTACACCATTCACAAAATCCAGCTGATTCAGAAGTCAATCGCCTGTTTGCTCACCCCCCATCACCCCAACCCTCGCCAGGCTCCACTGACTCCCTATCACACACACTAAACTCAGTACCCCCATCACCCCAGCCCTCGCCAGCCTCCATTTCAAGATCCTTACACTCGCCTCAAATCACTTAATTCCCTGGTATCTCCCTTTCATACCTGCTCACACCCCACTCCTCTACCCATTTCTATTGCTCGGCTTGCTCCAGCCTCCGAACAACCCACTGCCTCTCCACTCTACCATCGGCGGCCTTGCTTTCAGCGACTACGCCCCAAACTGTGGAACTTTCTGCTTCAACCCCTTCCCTTGCTACCTCCCTGCCTGTCTTCATATTGCATCTGAAGACCTTTCTCTTCGATCGTCCCTACGGTCACCTCCCCTCTCTCCGTCTCTGCCTCGAGCTCCACCATTGTTAAGCTCTGGGAGGTAACCCTCCACACCACACACCCCATACATACACACACCCCATGCACACACCACATACACCATATACACACACACACCCATGCACACACACCACATGTACACACACCACTTACACACACCATACACACACACCACATACACACAGACACCATACACACACACACACCCCATGCACACACCACATACACCATACACACACCCATGCACACACACCACATGCACACACACCATACGCACACCAAATACACACAGACACCATACACACACACCATACATACACACACACCACACACCCCCCCCCCCCCAAACAAATAGCACACACAAGACACAAACACACACTCACACACAATGGGGTCTATCACGTCACATTCCCAACATCAACTGTAATTAAAAAGGTGGCTACTTTTAGCCATCGGCACGTGGTGAACTCAGCTGTCACTGGCTTACACTGTGTGTATGTGTGTGTGCGTGTGACTCAGACCAGGACATCACTGACAGCTCAGCACGGGCCAGTGTTCTGGGATGGAAACACCAGTTTGCTATCTGAGCTTGGAAAGGAATTTAGCACACGAGAGAGAGAGAGAGGGAGAAAGAGCAAGAGCAAGAGCACTTCACAGAGAGAGAGGCTCATTAATAATATTAATAATAATAATCCTTGCATTTGATATCGCGCTTTTCACGTCGGGAGGACGTCCCAAAGCGCTTCACAGAACACACTGTAAAGTGAATTGACTGTATATTTGTGGGCGAACGCGGCAGCCAATTGCGCACAGCAATGTCCCACAAACAGTCGTAGATTGAAAATGACCAATTTATCATTGTTTTTTTTTTGGAGGGATTATTATTAGGCTCTGTGTGGAGTAAGGAAACTTGCCCAAGGTTTCGCCCTCTGCCTGGAATTGAACTCAGGTCTCTCACTTGCAAAGCGAGTGCTCTAACCACTGAGCTACAGGACTGCATTGGACAGTCAGGGATTTGAACCCAAGGTGGGGGTTGGGATAACCTATTAAACAATACCTGTACGATTAACAGGAATAACAACTTGCATTTATATAGCGTCCTTCATGCAGGGTAACGTCCCAGAGCTCTTAAATAGCAGACTTTACAGGCCTGAACTAATAATCCTATAATAATCCTTGCATTTGATATAGTGCCTTATCATTGTCTTCGAGACCTCTAAAAGCGCTTGACAGAATATATTGTAAAGTGAATTGACAAGTGTATCTTGTGGGCAAAACACGGCAGCCAGTTGCGCACAGCTGTGTCCCACAAACAGTTGTGGATTGAGTTACTATATTATTTTTATTTCTATGTTTTAAGGAATTATTACCTCCGGTTCCTACTTACTCTAAACAGAGGCGTGTGGAGAAAGGAAACTTGACCAAGGTTTCCTCCTGCCCAGGAATCAAACCCAGGTCCTCTTGCTCGCGAGGCACGGGCTCTAACCACTGAGATACTGAAATACCAGCTCGTCTCCACTATTTTGCTGGTCTGTTTATAAGAACTCCAGAAAAAAAGCGTCTGGGTTGAGACTGAATTGAAGATTTTTCCACAATTCTGCAAAATGTTTTTAAATTTTAAACCAGAATAGGTCGGGTGGAATTTCAAGCTTTGGATATCTTTAAGCCCAATTTTGATCTTAAGTAAATTGAATAAATAGTTTTATTGCTTTTTTTAACCCACAAAAGTACACCAGTCAATTCACTTTACAGTATATTGTGTGAAGCGCTTTGAGACTTCTCCACAAGGTGATAAAGTGCCATATCAGCTAATAATAAATTATTATTATTATATCAAATACAAGGATTATTATGTTTTTTTAAGAAAACACTTGTCACAATTGGACCTTTGTATAGCCTGAACCTGTGAAACTCTCTGCCTCAGTCCCTCTACCTCACCCCCTCTTTGCCCATCTTCAGCTCGCACCTGAAGACTTTCCTCTTTGGCCGTGCCTTTAGTCACCTCCCCCCTCTCCCTGGCTTGGTGTCGGGCTCCGCCATTGTTGAGTGCTCTGACTCTACCCGGCGTGAAGGGAGCTATACAAATGAACGTAGTTATTGTATTCCACCAAATATAAAACCAGAATCCTATTTGCCTTTGTTTCAGCCTTTTCTACCTGAACCCCCAGTTTTTAAAGATAATAAAAATAATAATTTTTGCATTTGATACAGCGCCTTATCACGTAGTTGAGACGTCTCAAAGGGCTGCACAGGATACACTGTAAAGTAAATTACAGTGTATTTTGTTTGCAAAACATCTCCCATCTTCACCCTTAATCTCTCTGTTCAGCAACACAAATGGAACATCACCTATGAAGGTATATTTCCTTTCATTTTTTTCTAAAACTCACTTCACATTCCCACTATGTCCACCTGTAGTTTCCTGTATTTTCCTCATTTTGCTTTGCCCCACCCCTCCACGGCACTCATTTTAGCTTTAAATCACGCTACAACTCATTTATTTTTAGAGATCTTTTGTAACCCTTTTCTGCACTCGTTTTTGTTAACCTCTACAAATAAATTGAAAGCATTCTCATGCATGTCCTGATTAAAAGAGAGTATGGGGATGTCTGGGGAGACCATAGATCCTCTCTTGTGTGGTTTTTGGGGATGTGAGAGGAAAAATAACTTGCATTTATAATATATTTATAATAGCACCTTTCATGTTAAAGTAAACATCCTGAAGCAAACAAGGATTGGAATACAATTTAGTTTAACTGGGAGAGAGACTCCACTATAACAGTGGCGGGCGAAGGGTTCAAAAGTTTAGAAGTTCTTAAAAGTCCTTGTGTGTTAACTGGGATTAGAGTGACGTGTTCAGTGAGAGATTAGAAAGATTTAATCTAATCTCTGGTGGATTGGTGAGAGCTGTGTCTGCTGGTTTAGGCTCTGTTGTCCAGTTTACTGTGTGCTGTGCATTTGACGGTTCAGATTTGAACCCTCTGTCTGAGCGAGTGGGCCTCGTGGAGCACTGCAGGGACCTGCTGGCCATTCACTGTGTATTCACAGTGGAAGCCACTTTAGCCGGACACTGGTTAACCCGGACATCCGGCGTCAATTCATTTGTATTCTTACCTGTTTCACTGCCCACCAGGGGCTCTGGGGTGGAGATGGGAGGAGTCAAATCAGCGGACAGCGGACTCCAGCCATTCACAAGCGGCTCCGGGCTGTCAATCAGTGAGGAGGGGGCAATGGGAGGGAGTCCGATTGTGATTGATTGACAGCGGGAGCCGCCGGTGATTGGCTGGAGCTCATTCATTAACAAGCAGCCCCGGCTGTCAATCACCTGGGAGCCGCCACTAATGGGTCCCTTTGCCGTCCAATGGAAGGGAGGAGGCGGAGCTGCTCCTCTGCTGGGTGGGAAGAGGAGAGGGACGTCCACCTAACCTCGGACGCCTCTTCAGCCGGACAAGATGGCCGCCCCGATGTGTCCGCCTTAATTGGCTTCAAACTGTATATATTTATATAAAAACTGGTTCTGATCTTCCTTAACCTCGTGTTTGTTTTGTCTTCAATTGTCACAATAGGGAAAACCAGATCCTACATCGAGATACAGAAAACACGAAATAATTATTTGAGTAAGTCTCTGATATTGTGCCATCACTGCTGTTCCCCTCTCCCTCCCCTTTCCCACCTCCATCTTCACACAGGATGTGATTTGCACCGTTTAATTTGTCTCATTATTTTGTATCTTTTCTATGTTATCGATCACAAGGTCTCATGTGAAAATCACCTGTTTTATTGAATAGGTGCCAGTTCCGTGTATATTTATTCACAAAATCTGCATCACGTTTCATATGTGTTTTACCCCCCACCCCCCCCACTTCCCTTCATTTCAATTCAAACTTTGTCTTAAATTGTCGCAGTTCTACATATTAATCCTATAAAAGATTCTCTGGGATTTGGTAAGTGGCCATAGGTGAACAGTCACATTGTGCTGCAAGTGAAAAGATGGTATTACAGGTTAACTTAATTCTGTCATTAACTAACTAATTAACTAACTAATGAGAAGAGTTTCACAGTTGATCCTTGTTAATTATATGATTACGGGCACCTTTAATTCCCTCTGCAAACATGCCACATGCTATAGCCACTGCTGTGCGCAATTGGCTGCTGGGTTTTGCCCACAAAATACAGTCTCTGTATTTCTCTATATATTCTAATATATCCTAATATATTCTCTGAAACGCTTTGAGACATCTCGAAGACGTGATAAGGTGCTATATCAAATGCCAGGGTTATTATTATTATGTCTTTCCTCCCTCTCCCTCCTTTAGTCGCTCCTTCACCTTAAAGCAATGTGATTCTGCAGTGAGCTTCTTGGAAATTGAAATGCATTAACATTTTGAGAATTGAAATGCATTAACATTTTGAGTGACTAGGGTTTCTGATTATTTGTGCCCCAAGCTCTTAAACCTGTGTTTGTATATACCACAGACACTCACACACAAATGGTGGGGTCTTGAGAGAGTTGTGACACCCTGTGAAGGAGTCCTGTAGATTAGTGGTGAGGGCACTCGGTGTTTAACCTCAAATGGCTCTACACATACAGCCCTGAACCTGCACCCACTCATCTGTTGAAATGTATGTGTTTCCAGTAATTGCTGTCAAGTTATATGGCTCACGTCCATCTACTGTTGCTTTAGCTACGCAATTTAAATTGGTTTCTGCGCAAGAAATATTGCAAAAGAATATACAAAGCTGAAGAAACAGTGTAAGATTTTATGATTCTGCCTCTTTTCCAGGTACTGGGCTGGTGAGAATAGAAGTGAGCTCGCAGTCTTAACACTCAGAATATTGCTGATCATTAAAAACCTTCAGCAATTACCCCAATTGTTGTGGCTGTCAAATAGCAATGTTACAGCACAAATGAAAGTTCCAGTTATAATACTCCACCACCCCTCTAAATGTTACTCATCACCGTTGCTTAAGAGTCTCCAAACCTAATTGAGAATTCCGCACATCCCACCGAGACGTGGAAATTCCCAAGATAGATTGTTGGAATGGAATGCTCTCTCGCTCTCTCTCTCTCCCTGGAGGGACACATCCTAGTTACTAATTCCAGGGAGTATTAGGCGCAGGTTGGCGAGAGCCAAGACTTGTGGGGAGCACAGAGTGTGTGTTGGGCCAGAGTCTGGCCAAGCTTTCCCACTGCTTTCCATCTCGGACCATCCTAGTTGAGGCTTTAGCTTGAAAGGTTGACAGGAGCTGAGTGGGTTGACTCTGTGCCCGCAGTGACTGGTTTGCCCTCCCAGGTCCTGCCAATGAGTCAGGCTGGGCTGTGGAATCAGCAGTACTGTGGACTTGGCTCAGGACTGGACTAGAGACCGTCACAGAGGGTGGGCTTGATTCTGACATTCCGTTACCAGGCCTGTCACCTTGAGCCTTGAGCCAGGACCTCACTTTACCTCCCTCCGAGGAGCAGGATAGCCGCGAAAATGAAACACTAGAATATAACATGGCCGAGTGGCCTGATCCAAACAGCATCAACCGGTCACACCACCAGGGGGCACCTCAGAGCCACTCCCATCACCTCCTCCTGTCACGTCACACCCTCTGCCGTGTCTCCGACAAAGTGGAACGCTGTGACAAGATGCCAACCCTCTGGTGATGTAAAAGCCTTGACTGGGATACAGGTTAATTCGGTGCTGATTTCCCATGCATCTGAGTTTGCCTGTTGACCTCCAATTGATACTGCAAATGGAAAATTCAGCCTCAATTGTACAGCCTGTTTTCTGGAGCTCGTAAGGTTAAGATCTGGGGGTGTGGGGGAACCCTACCCGGGTCTAGATAGCACAGTAGTTAACGTGTTCGCCTTATAAATAAATAAATAATAAATTGATCATTCAATCCACGACTGTGTGTGGGACGCCGCTGGGTACAATTGGCTGCTGTGTTTTGCCCACAAAATACACAATCAATTCACTTTACAGTATATTCTGTGAAGCGCTTTGAGACATCTCAATGACATATCAGAATCATAGAATTACACAGCACAGAAGGAGGACATTCGGCCCATCGTGTCTGTGCCGCTCTTTGAAAAAAGTTGCCAAATCAACCCCACTCCCCCACTCTCTCCCCATAGCTCTGCAAACTTGTCCTCCCCAAATAATTATCTACTTCTCTCTTAAAAGTTGTTATGGAATCCCTCCCCTCTGTTTCTCCCCCTATTTTAAATCGGAGCTCTCGGGTTACCGACCCACCCACCAGTGGGAATAGTTTCTCTTTGTTCACCCTATCGAATCCCCTCAGAATTTTTAAAACATCTAGTAAGTCTTCTCTTAACCTTCTCTGCCCCAAGGAGAATAATCCTGGCTTCTCTCGCCTCTCCTGAAGCCCCTCATTCCTGGTACCATCCTTTGCACCCTCTCCAATGCCTTGACATCCTTCCTCAAGTGTGGGGCCCAGAACTGAACACAGTCTCTCGCTGAGGCCCAACCAGTGTCTTATATAAAGGTTCATCATAACTTCCTGACTTGTATATTCTATGCCTTTATTTATAAAGCCTTGTGTGCCGGATACTTTTTAACAGCTTTATCTGCCTGTCCGCCACCTTCAAAGGTTTACGATATGAACCCCAGGTCTCTCTGCCCTTCACCCCCTTTAACACTAGTTTATATTGCTGCTTCTGCTGCCAACATAAGCATCTGTATATCAAATGCAAGGATTATTATTTTATTATTACTCAATCCCTGTCCAGCCTTTACGCCAGGAGTCAGCATTCTAACAAGGTGCGTGAACGTTTGATAGTGTGGGAGCAGCTACACATTCATGGACAGACATTGAAATGTATAAATATTTAAATTTTTCAGCAGAATTAGAAACTCGCCCTTTCTCTCTTTCCCCTTCTCCTTTCTCAACATCGAACTCCACCACTGTACAAGTGTTCTGCGTACATTATCCTGGGCAAAAGCCACTGAATAACTGCAAATTGTTAATAATAATAATAATCATTGCATTGGGTGACATCCCACTTGAATGACATATTTTATCTGGGGATTGTAGCCCAAAGGGGAAAAGTGACCATTTTGGGGGGTGAACGACGACTGAGAAAAACTACGTGGTCCGAGATTGTATGAGACTCTCTTTAGCTATGCATCTGTCTCATTCTATTTTTGTACAGATAAATGCAAACTTCATGTGATCAGTGAGGTAACTGCAATGTTGTTTACAATTCCTGTTGCAGTTTTATTCTACTTTTCTTAGATTTTGTGCAATGCCTTGCACATTGAAGGTCGCCCCAATGCACTACACACGATTTACTGTCCGGGAGTCCTATAGTGTAACAGTTAGAGCCTTGCAAGTGAGAGGACCCGGGTTTGATTCCTGGGCAGTGCGAAACCTTGGTTTCCTTACTCCACACTCCTCTGTTTACCTAGCAGTAAGTAGGAACCTGGTTGTTTGTCGATTGGATGATCGCTTTAATAAAATATTAATAAAATAAAATTGGTCACTCAATCCATGACTGTTTTTGGGACGCTGCTGTGCGCAATTGTCTTCCGCATTACACCTACAAAACATTGTCAATTCACTTTACAATATATATTCTGTGAAGCGCTTTGAGGTGTGTCAACAGTGTGATAAGGAGCTATATCAAATGCCAGGGTTATTATTGCTGTGAAATGCAGTGACTGTGCAGTTTGGTTTATGGATCCTTATTTTGAAACGTTTCAAGGCGCTTTCCAAGTAATTGCTGTTAAATTAAGTACCTGCTGTTTTTGTAGGAAAATGTGGCAGCCATTTTGCACTGAGATAGCCCTAATACAGTGGAGTGTTGGTCTGGGAGCCGCGAGAAGCTCCTTTCTATTCCGAATATTCTGCGATTTTTAACAATAATAATAATCCTTGCATTTGATTTAATGCCTGATCACGTCTTCGAGACATCTCAAAGCACTTCATAGAATAGACCGTAAAGTGAAGATTGTGTATTTTGTGGGCGAAACGCGACAGCCATTTGCGTACAGCAGCGTCCCACAAACTGCCGTGGATTGATTTTTTTTCAATCGACTAACAACCGGGTTCCTACTCACTGCTGGTAAACAGAGGTGTGTGGAGTAAGGAAACTTGCCTCGGGTTTCCCCCGCCCGGGAATCAAACCCGGGTCCTCTCGCTTGCGAGGCGAGTGTGCTACATGGAGTCCTGTAGCTCAGCGGTTAGGGCACTTGCCTCGCAAGTTTCCTTACCCCACACGTCTCTGTTTACCAGCAGTAATTAGGAGGTGATTGGAGGATGGCTTTCCTGGGTGTAATAATTCCTTCAAAATTAAATAAATAAATAATAACAATAAATTGGTCATTCAATCCACGGCTGTTTGTGGGGACGCTGCTGTGTGCAATTGGCTGCTGCGTTTCACCCACAAATATACAGTCAGTTCACTTTACAGTATTCTGTGAACTTTGAGACATCCAACATGAAAAGGCTCTGTATGAAATGCAATGATTATTATCACACTATGGAACTCCATAACAACAATCTAAACAACCCAAATGTTTAACAGCTCATCGCAGGGAAGGCAGGGCTGACAAAGTGCTTTTCCCCTCATACTGAGCTCATGGATCAGCCTCAACTGTGAGCTCAATGTCGCAACATTTTGACTGCACGATGTTGTTAGCTAGGCCGATGCCTGGTTTTATAATAAAAACATGATGGTCATTTATTCTACAACAACTACAGATGACAAACGCTGATGCTAAACTTTTCCATCTCTTTGTTGCCTCAGGGGATTTCTCACTGTTACTAATATTATACTGCGGGATGGTAGTATTTCCTAGAAAAGGCGGTCACTCTCTGAAACCTCGCAGAAGATAATTCACACTCAAGCAGAGTAAAAATGTGCAAATTTATCATTTCTGGGTGTCTTTCGACAAGTGCTCTGGGACCCTACCCCATGTGAAGGGTACTATATGAATGCAAGTTGTTGTTGTTGAACTTGGCGTCCTGTAGTGCAGTGGTTAGAGCATTCGCCCTGCAAGCGCGAGGACCCGGGTTCGATTCCCTTAGGCAAGTTTTGTTACCTTCCTACGCCCCTGTTTACCTAGCAGGAACCCGGTTGTTAGACGATTGGTGGATCACTTTCCAGGGATAAAATCCGTTTAAAAATAAATAACATAACATTGGGTCATTCGATCCACTCCCAAAATGCAGTCAATTCACTTTACAGTGTATCCTGTGAAGAACTTTGAGATGTCTCAATGACGTGATAAGGAGCCGTATCAAGTACAAGGATTATTCGCAATGTGAGGGTGATATTTGATATGTATCACACTGATCCAGCTCCCACTCCAATCAGATCCATGTCAGCTGGTTCAGCAGCATGAGCAAGGCCTGAGATTTGGGCGTGTCAATAAAGCTTTCAAAAATAAATGAGGTGGATTTCTATTAGAAAATAATATCATTTAATAAAAACAATCCTTGCATTTGATATAGTGCCTTATGTTGTTGAGACATTTCAAAGTGCTTAATGTATAATAATTAATATAAAATATAATAATAATTCTGGCATTTGATATAGCGCTTTTCACGTCTTCTCGACGTCTCAAAGCGCTTCACAGAATAGACTGTAAAGTGAATTGACCGTATATTTGTGGGCGAATATCTGGGGATAAAGTATATAGTTTGGCACACGATATGTCAAGTAACTGCCTGGATGGTGGAAGGCAAACTGGATGGACTTTAGTCTGTCACCAGCAAACTTTGATGTTCTTCTGTTCTTTTATTGCTCTGTTGCATCACAGACTCTCAGCAAGTGGTTCATGTTATCTCGTCATCCAGAAGCCAGGATTGGGCAGAGCATGAGGTGCCCATGGACACCAGCCCCACCATCATCTACCAGGACGTGTCTGGGGAGCCACAGTCTGCCACCTCCACCATCAAAGCCCTGCTTGAGCTGCAGCAAACAGGTGGGTGTCTGACTTGGCCATCAGTGGTCAGGCCTTCAGCCTCTCTGCCCCCTCCCTGTGCAATTCCATCATACAGTCTCTTCGTCTCGCTCCCTCCCTCACCTTCAAGGCCAGTTTCAAGACCCTGCTCTTCAACCGTGCCATGGTCACCCTCCTACCCCAACCCTCTCTGCCTTCCACCATCCTGATCCCAACCCCTAGCTCAGGTCCAAATCCCTGACTGTCCAGCAGTTTGTGTCCGAAAATAAAACCATCTTCAAACACCATTTCATCTCCTTTAACTCCTCAGGCCCTCTCTCCACCCCACCTCCATCTCCTACCGGCCCTGGAAAAAAATCTCCCTGCAACCCCACTCCGCTGCCCTGGAGTCATCTGAACTCCTCCCCCTCTGGCCTACCTCCCGCACTGATTTATCCTCCTTGCTCACTCTCCTCCACAACTCCCTCTCCATCACTCTTGATGCCCTTGTCCCCCTCACCTCCCCAACCATCTCCTACTCATGAACCTCACCCTGGTACACCAACCACCTCCGCTCCCTCAAGGGTCAGGTGTGGGCCACCGAATGCACTTGGCTCAAGTCTGACCTAACGGTCCACCAGCAGATCTGTCTGGACCCGGAGGCGGAGGCAGAGAGATAGAGTTGGGTGTCATCCTCGTGTGTACATGTGGAAGTTGACCCCATGTCTGTAGATGATGCCACCAAGGAAGAGCATGTAGAGGCTGAAGAGGAGGTGACCGAGGACAGAGGACCCGAGGAACACCGCACAAGAGGGCCTACAAGAGAAATCGTTGGTAGAGACAAATTGGAGACGGTGTGAGAGATAAGACCTGAACCATTCAAGGACAGAACCTTGAAGGTTGAAGTGAGAGGAGAGGAGGTGAAGGAGATTGGAGTGGTCCACGGTATCGAAGGCATCGGAGAAGTCGAGGAGGACGAAGAGGCAGAGGGAGCCCTGGTCACAGATGGACAGGATGTTGTTTGTGACCTTGACCAGAGCAGTTTCAATGCTGCTCCCAGCACGGAGACCAGATTGGAGGGATTCGTGAAGGCAGTGGTAAGAGAGGATGGTGTGAAGCTGGAAGCAGCAGCTCTTTCAAGGACCTTGGAAAGAAAAGGGCGATTGGAGATGGGCCGGTAGTCAGAAGGCAGGGATGGGTCCAGAGAACGGGGGTGATTGTAGCTGTTTTTAGGGGGATGGGAACGGTGCCAGATGATGGGCAGAGGTTGAAGGTGTCGGGAGTAGAGGGAGAGGAGGTGGCGCTGGGAGGTAACGAGAGTGGTGGGGATGGGGTCAAGGGAGCAGGTGGTGTATTTCATGCTGGATATGGTGGTGATGAGAGAACAGGACAGACAGGTCCAAAGATGTGGAGAGAGGGATGGGTAGAGGTCAGGGTGTGGGGGGAGATGAGGAGGGGGTTGGGAGGGAGGAGGCAGCTGACCAGATCCCCTCAATATTGGACTCAAGGAAATCCAGCATCTCCCCACAGTTTGAGGAGAGAATGGGCACGGCGTGGGAGGGTGGACAAGGAGCCGGTTGTGGTGGAGAATAGGAGCCTAGGGTTGACCTTATTGTTGTCCTGGATTATCTTGGAGTAGAAGGATAATTTGGTGGAGGTGAAGGCGGAGCAGAACGTTTTATGTGTACAGCCTCCCCTACAGGAACACCTCGCACCCCGTGCTGAGGGCTGACAGCAAACTGAGGGAGGCCTACAATGCCGTACTCACCATCACCGTGCAGTCTGAGGAGAGGTCCTTCCAAGAGGCCTTCGAACAGGCCAAAGATGATGGGGAGCTCCTGACACCTCAGGGGGCTGAGCAGGTAACAGCACCCAACTCCAGCCTCAGTCCTCCCTCCTTCACCTGTTCAGGAACAACAACAACAACTTGCCTGTACACAGCCCCCGCAGGATAGCGCCCCAGAGCACCTGACAGTGGCGGAGCATGGCCCTGAGCCGGGGAGAGTAGACTATGTTTGGAGCAAGGAAAATAGGTTCCCATAGTGTAGTGGTCAGACACTCGCCTCACAAGCGAGAGGACACGGGTTTGATCCCCGGGCGGGAGAAACCTTGGCCAAGTTTCCTTACTCTCCACACCTCTGTTTACAGCAGTGAGCGATTGGTGGATCACTTTTCGGGGGTAATAATCCACCAAAGAAATTTGGTCACTCGATCCACAATCATTTGTGAGCACTGCTATGTGCAATTGGCTGCCGAGTTTCGCCCACAAAAGACACAGTCACTACACTTTATAGTATATTCTGTGAAGCGCTTTGAGATGTTTCAACACTACATCAAAAACAAGGATTATTATGATTGATACATGTGGCTAACTATAATCTGTGAAGCACTTTGAGACGTCTGAATGCTGTGATAAAAGGCACCGTATCAATTGGAAGGATTATTATTATTAATAAATCGGATTTTATACAACATGAGTTTTCTGTAATTCATACTTTGCATCACATAAAGTCATATAAATGTCATGGTCCCGAGTGACACAATTTAAGAGAGATTTACTTTATTATTATTATCACATCGATGAGACATCTCACAGCGCTTCACAGGATACACTGTAAAGTGAGGACTGTGTGTTTTGTGGGTGATATGTATCCCACAATCAGTAATCACAAAATTCCTGCTGACTGCTGTGTTATCCCTCTCCCCCATCCCTCCCAACCCCTCCCTCCACCCCTCCAGGTCTCTCCGCTCTTCGGGACTATTTACAATGGGGTTTACCTGATTGCCAAAGCCATGGGGAGCCCTGGGCGGAGCGGGGGGCGGCCCAGGGACACCAGGAACCTGGACTTCCAAGGCTTTAACCAGAGGATCCGGACGGACGCCCAGGGCAACGGGCTGAGCGACTATGTGGTTCTGGATGCGGACTGGAGTGGCCAACAGTTGGTGCCCACATACACTGTGGACCCCGGGGACAACCTGCTGGTTCCCACCGGCAACCCCATCCGCTTCCCAGGGGGGGCGCCACCCCAGCCAGACCCCAACTGCTGGTTCGACCCCAACAACCTGTGTACAGGAGGTGAGGCTTCTCTCCGCTCGGGATACTTCCTCAGGTTAATAATAACAACAATAATAATTACAATAATAATAATTACAATAATAATAGTAATAACAATAAATAATAGCAATAACAACAATAATAATCCTGGCATTGCTACAGCGCCTTATTACGTCTTCGAGACGTCTCAAAGCGCTTCACAGGATACACTGTAAAATGTAATGACTGTATATTTTGTGGGTGACATGAAGCAACCAATTGTGCACAGCAGTGAGTGTCCCACAAACAGTCGTGGATAGTGACAAATTATTATTTTCTTTGAAGGGATTATTATGCCCAGAAAAGTGATCCACCAATCGATTAACAACCGGGTTCCCACTCACTGCTGTAAACAGAGGGGTGTGGAGTGAGGAAACTTGCCTCGGGTTTCTCTCTGCCCGGAATCAAACCCGGGTCCTCGCGCTTGCGATGCGAGTGTCTAACACCTGAGCTACAGGACTGCAAGTTTGTTGGTTCTATGTGACTGCAGTGTGCACAGTGCTGTGGATTCTCTGGTTTCCCTGTAGGTGTGGAGCTGACGGTGATTATTTCGGTGTTTGTGGTCATCTTCGTTCTTGCAGTTTGTGGGATTGGCCTCAGCTACATCATCAGGTGAGATACAGTTCCTGATCCTTCTTACATCAGAGTTATCAACGATAACAATTCTCGCATTTGATATCGTGCCTTATCATGTCTTCAAGACGTCTCAACGAGCTTCACAGGATATAACCGGGTTCTTACTCACTGCTGGTAAACAGTGGCGTGTGGAGTAAGAAAACTTGCCTAAGGTTTCGTTCTGACCCGGGAATCAAACCCAGGTCCTCACTTGCGAGGTGAGTGTCTAACCACTGAGCTACAGGATTCCATGGGAGTGGATGTTAAAGATCCTGTGGCTCGATTCAAAAAGACAAGGGTGTTGCTCTCTCTCGCTCTCTCTCTCTCGCTCTCGCTCTCTCTCTCTCCTGGTGTCCTGGCCAACAATCCCCCAATAAAAAAATACGGAACCATGACAGTTTTTGAGATCTGTGCTCAATGGTGCTGCTGTGTTTACCTAAAAAATACACCGTCACTCCACTTTACAGTATATTTTGTGAAGCGCTTTGAGATGTTTTTCCAAAGTGATAAGGCTCTGTACCAAATGCAAGGATTTTTATTATTACATTATTATGAGGTGAATCAGTGCTGTGTCAAACACACTCTCGAGGCTCCACATTTGCTCCTGTTTTCCCAGAGGTCGAATCCAACAGATCCAGATGGTGACAGGACCCAACAAGCTGTTACTGAGCCTCAGTGATCTGACATTCATCAACCCCCAGCTCAGCATGAAGGTGGGTCACCTCTCAACAGGCGGCTGCAATGTAATATACACAGCAGGGAATGGGAGCGAGCCCCAACACAGACACCATGGGGGGGGGAGAGAGAGAGAGAGCAGGGAATGGGGTTAGAGTAGAGAGCTCCAGTGGGGGAGCGAGCCCCAACACAGACACCATGGGGAGAGAGAGAGAGCAGGGAATGGGGTTAGAGTAGAGAGCTCCAGTGGGGGAGCGAGCCCCAACACAGACACCATGGGGGGGGGGGGGAGAGAGAGAGCAGGGAATGGGGTTAGAGTAGAGAGCTCCAGTGGGGGAGCGAGCCCACACAGACACCATGGGGGGGGGGAGAGAGAGAGCAGGGAATGGGGTGAGAGTAGAGAGCTCCAGTGGGGGAACGAGCCTCAGCACAGACACCATGGGGAGAGAGAGAGAGAGAGCAGGGAATGGGTTAGAGTAGAGAGCTCCAGTGGGGGAGTGAGCCCCAGTACAGACACGATGGGGAGAGAGAGAGCAGGGAATGGGGTTAGAGTAGAGAACTCCAGTGGGGGAGCGAGCCCCAGCACAGACACCATGGGGAGAGAGAGAGAGAGAGCAGGGAATGGGGTTAGAGTAGAGAGCTCCAGTGGGGGAGCGAG